CTGGGGAAGTCTCTTTATAATCAATCCCACAGCTCCTGAGACTGCAAGTAAATATTCATGGGAGCAGACAGATAGAGAAGTGCATTTCAGGCATCATCTTCCTGAATGCTCAGTAAGTTATTCTGGTCAGGAAGCAGGGAGGGATGGCACTATCAGCTGGAGATTGGCACTGTAGAAAGAGGGAATGCAGTACATGCCCTATTGAAAGACGTGTTTGATCTGTGTCTGCTAGGTGACCCCTATTTTGACAAGATTAACACATAGATTAACCCCAAGTGAATTAAATACCTAAATGGACAACCAAAAAGGAAAATAGAAGAAAATTAGGGGAGTAAGTCAATCTGTGTGGTTTGTGAGACCTGAAGTCCTGGTGGGAAAGAGGCACGTATGACTTCATGAAAGTAAAAAGGGTTTGTGTGTTCCTACTTTAGATCGAATCTGCTTTCGCTGAGGTTTTTCGCTAAGGTAAGGGGAGACAAGAAATTAGCAAATAAATGACGTAATTTCAGGTAGTGGTAGGTGTTCACAAGAAACTAGGGGATATGTTGTGGGATACAGAAAGGTTTTTCCCCAGGGTGTCTTCCCCATATTATATGAAACATGGTAAATGACTGTACACTTGGAGGTCAGCTGCTTAAATGTTATCTCCTTGAGGATATCAGTCATCTAGAGCAATCAGACCCTATAGTCTATTCCACCCTAAGTAGGGCCCATTCCCTGCTAATAAGGATAGTGGACTGCTCCCCTGAAGGAGAACCCAAAGACTAGGTCAAGCCAACTCAAGGACGACCAATGTTAGGCTGTCATCTTGAATCTAGGACAGGCCTATCTTGTCACATGTGTACCCCTAGTGTCTCCCCTTCCTATTGCTTGTTACTCCTAGCTCATCCCCTTCCTGTCGCATGTATGCCTGTTGTACAACCTCTTCCTGTTATGTATGTGGTTACCTGTAATTAGGGGGGTTTGTATACCACTAAATGTATATAAGCCTTGATTGGAAATATTCGCTGTACTTCCTCTGTTAGTCCAGACATGAACTTGTAGCCACCTGAACTGTGTGAAAATTAGTTTGCTTGTTAAAACCATCCACACTGATAATGTTAGATTCCTGTGTGAGAAATACCTCGATCCTTGGCTTCCCACGAGAAAGAATTCATGCTGAAGCCTGGTTTGTGATCCAAGTGGGTTTTTATAAAGGATAGAAGTTTCAGGCATACAGTAAACGGAATACAAGCACCTTCATGGCATTGCACACCCAGAGAGACCAAACCATGGAGGAGCAGCTGGAAAAGAGAGGGTGGTCTCCCGGTCCGGCCCTTTTAGGGCTTTCCACTGGGAGGGGTGACAGTGCTGCTGGTTGACCCCATTGGCTGAATTAAGTCCACTTGACCTAGTTTGGGGGCCTGTCCAAGTGTACTGCCTTCCTGGCTCCAGGGCCTGAATTTGCTCATGCCCTTTAGCCTTTATTGGCTTCCAGCTTTCTGTAGGGCTCCCGCTAACTCATGGAGAGAACAATTCCCTATCTTGCTATCTAACAGTATTTCTATTATAGCTGCACAAGTTAACTAAAACAACAACCAAACACTTCACCACTGCACCGATATAGATCTTTTATTATAATTACTCTTTGATAATAAGAAGAGAGGATTAAGATAAACTTTTTTTTTTTGGTGGTTTGGGAGCAGGTATAAAAAGAAAAACTTGAGTTTTGGACATTCTGGTAGACTACAAATACATCCCCAGAAAAAAGTTCCCCTGGGTGGAGCTTTAGTAGTATCCATTTTTCCCGCTAGGCTAAGATGATCAGACGTCCCGCTTTTGGCAGGACAGTCCTGATTTTTAACAATTTTTCCCGTGTCCCGTGGCGTTTTTAAAAAGTCCCGATTTTTGGAAAGAATGCACGACAAGCTAAGGTATATGGTTTTTCGCTGCCATGTGGCTATTTCGCCAGGATATGAGTTTTATCAATGGTGTCCCGCTTTTGTCCCACTTTACTAATGTTCAAATCTGGCCACCTTACGCTAGGCGAGCAATTTGCTCTGACTTAATCCTCCCAGTGACATTACCTGGGAAAGTTCTCTCTGGTCACAGTGAATTTTCTCGTGAAAGCAGTTTAGCTCAAACCTCTTCTTTGTGTTGGCTGATGTTAGAACAGCGTGCAGCTGTGAAATTTTGTTTCCTGCTCCGGAAAAATGCCACAGAAACTGATGTGATGTGGAACACAGCTTACAAAGGACAGCGATTCTAAAAATGTGAAATGTTGATTGATGACAAACCTCTTCCTGGACGTCTGTCAACTTCCTAAATGGATGAAAATGTTGACTCGTAGTGTATTTGGAGTTCATTCCTCCAGGTTAGACTGTTACTCAAGCTTTCTATTTAGAAGTTTTGAAAAGATAGCATAACACTGTGACAAAAAAGGCCTGATTTGTGGCAGACAGGGAACTGGTTTTGCTTTCATGACAGTGCACCTGCTCATGCAAAAAACAAAAAACAAAACAGCATACCTGTCTTGCCC